AGACAATCCTTCAGGGATTTCCACTACCAGCAGGCTGAGGGACCTCGATGGGTTTGTACTCAACTGCACTACTTTTGTCATCAGTGGTTGAACCCAGAGAAGCACACAAAAGCTCAGATGCTGGACCTGCTGGTCCTGGAGCAGTTCCCGGCCATCCTGCCCCCAGAAATGGAAAGCTGGGTCCGGGAGTGTGGGGTGGAAACCAGTTCCCAGGCGATGGCCCTGGTGGAAGGCTTCCTCTTGAGCCAGGCAGAGAAGAAGGATCTGGTAGAGTTTCAGGTCTTATTGGTTCCGAGGGGGTAATAATGAATATTTGGGGAATTTCACTTGGTGCCATTTCTACCCCCAATTCCTGTGAACCATTTTAATCCTGGTTTTCTCTGTCTTTAGTTCTGATGTCTAGTTTTTCTAATTCCCTTTTCTCCTCCTATCCATGGTTTCAGGATTTTGTCACAGAATGTTCTGAGATGAGAGGGGATTTGTCAGATTCTTCCCAGGATCCACTTTTTGGTGGGAGCTCCCAAAAGGATCCAATGCAGGGCACATTGCCAGGTAAGGTTTGAAACAGTAATGTCAAGACTTATATATGCACCTATATACCTCACTGTACAAGAACTAATAAACTGATTACCTACAAATATTCTTCCCAGAAATCTGGAATGGGCTCTTTCTACTTTAGAATTTTCTACTTAAGCTCTGCTTTAGGCCAACCAAGGCCGAGATTAATCTGAATGTCTTGTGAGAATCCATAATTATTCAGCTTTTGCATAATGGGCCCTTCCCCTTAGTTGTAAAATTAGCTACTAAAATTAACAGAACTAATCTGGAAGAGAAGAAGAATAAATTTAGCTAGTAATTTAAAATATTAATCTATAAAGCAACTCAAATTACCCAAGCTTCTTATCAAAGGATCACAATTGAAAGGCACCCAGGTACTTGGAAAAGATTTCTCAAAATTTTTGATCGTACAATGGCTCCAGAGATGCGATATTATTGTAAAGACCTAACTGAAGTAATTTATATTTCGGCTTTCCTCTTTGCAAAAGTGAAACCTGTTTAAAACCAACTAGAGTTAGACACAATAAAATTACATTGTCATCATGAAACCAGAGGTTTATCTATCACTTTGGGAGGATGGTGAGCCAAACCATCCAAGGCAGTAACTTAGATTCACATCTTAAAAGTTAACAGTAAGGGTGCCAGCATGCAGTCTTGTCTAACTCTCTTAGATGGCGTGTTCTACAATGACCCAGAGCCATGCACCAAACATTTAAGAATTCTCAAGTTTATATGCTACTAGGAACTGAAACCTATCAGCAGAGAATGCCTTACACCACAGCTTTGCTCTTGAGATGGAATCACATATGGACTTACTCCCCCCAAAATTGTACAGAAAGCTGCTCCAGGATTAAATGTATTTTTCAGCCAGATCTTGAGAAGTTAAAGCTTGTTCTACGTGACAATGTCTAGCCCTAAAGCCAGCCTCCTCTTCTCCCAGAATGTGCTCTGAGTTAAGATAATCCCTGAGTTTATCATGCAGGTGTTTTACATACAGCTTGCTCATTATACTCCCCTTAATAGAACAATAATTAGCAGGAGGATCCCTTTTGTCTTTTTATCTAAATAGGGATTATTAAGGCTAGACCACATGTCCTACAAAGTCTTAGCGTTTGATCAATGTACATAAAAAGAGATGTTAATTTTGCAGTCCACCAATCCAAATTACTACAAACAACCTGCACAGTCACAAAGTTGTCGTCTGGAGCTTTCAGTTCTTTAATTTAAGAGGCAGTCTCAGTACCCGATACTGGATACTGCTCCAGAATAGAATTCACTTAAGCCACATAATCCATCAGCGTCATAGATTCTTGCCCATATAAAGCCTGAAAAGACTCCTTATGTTCGTTCTAAATGTGGCATGTCACCCAAGTAGATGGGATCACTAAAATATTGATGAATTCTTTGAATGGGTTGAAGATATTTACTCTTACCAGCCCCTTTCTTGCCAAATGGCCATCTAAATCAAGCCACAGTGTTGAAGTAGGTTCCTTATTTTTCGTTTTTGAAGGAGCAGTTATATATAACATATTTAGAAATTTAATTGGAAAGACACAATCTACTGTCTTTAGTTGCAGCCCTGCAGCTTGCAGGATTCCATGAAACAACAGACAATGAGTGAGGAAAACTAGAGAGTCAGTCTGAACATAGAAGGGAAGGCTAAGCTAACTAAGGGTCCTCCTCACCTGCATTCAGAGGGAATTGGTGTCTGACCGTCCAACCCTAACCCTCCTGATCCATACTTAAAATGGAGTTTGAACTGTCAGTGTGTTGGGACCTCGAAGCCAAACTGGCAAGGTTCTTCTTCCAATGCTAAATCTAAGCTCAAAAGTAGTTTAGAATTATCAGGAGGGATAACTCTGGCCTTACTTTGTCAGATATAGTTGGCGGATATAACCCCTGTGACAAAATAAAACCAGCTGGTTTGTGTATATTTCTTTCTGTTAATCCCATAGCTTCTTATTATGTTTCTTGTGAGGTTTCATAGCCTGACTCGCTCCCTTCTCCTAACAACCCATTTGGGGCTCTTATCACCCCACTATTTCTCCATCATTGCAGCCTGTTTTTAATGGTTAAAAGCCAGATGAGATATTTTTCTCCCAGGATCTTCAGTAAACATTTTACTGTCATCTATAAAACTTGGGACTGCTCCTCCTTAGCTGGAGCAACCATTATCAACAATCTATTTCCTTTATTTTTGTCTTGACCACAGAGAATAGACCAATGTACCAGTTCCTACACTGCGAAACATCTCTTTTTGATAGACCAGAAATCGAAACTATGTTTCCAGCTCAGGTAAGAGAATTTCTCCCACCTCCCAAACTTGTGGATGGGTTTATTCAAGATGCATTTCCTTTATTTTCCTCCATTCCCCAACAATTTTATTGCACCAGTGCCTTTCCTGACCAGCAGCTCGATTGGGACAAGCTTAACGTGATCAGCCGCTTTCCAACCAAAGGTTAAAGCTGGAACAGCCGTAGAGGGTGAAAGAGAGAGCTCACGTTGATGGGTCCAAAACAATATTGTGATTCAGGCCCTCCATGGCACTGAATCCTCGGAAGAAACAGTCTTCTGAAGACTTAATCAAGTTAAAAGGCTATGCCTCCACTGTGTAGTAAATCACAGGCCATGGACTCTGTCATTAAGTTCTGAAAATTGCCAGAAGATTGTCTGTGTACTTCACTGCAAAGCTTTGGGAGTTTCTGAGAGACCTTAAAAGACTTTTCTCAGCCTGTCTTATAATAAGAAACGTTTCCTTCCTCTTTCAGGGTCCCATATCCTTCAAGGAAGTGGCTGTCTGTTTCACCAAGGAAGAGTGGGATCTGCTAGATCCTGATCAGAAAGCTCTCCATCAGGAAATCATGCTGGAGATGTCTAGAAATGTAGCTTTGTTGGGTAAAAGTCTCTCTTTGTTCAGTGTTCAGACTGTTGGGAAGGTATTTTCTAGTTGGAAAAAACCTGGACGCTGGCTTGGCCATTGGAATCTGTGAACTGGTGTCCAGACACTGAGTTTCAAAACAGCAATTGCATTTCAGCGTAAATAGTGCTACCTTCTCCCCAAAAGCCAAATATCATATCTGTTATAATGGAATCCGAGCTGCAGTGGCTGATTAGATTAGAAAAGGGATCTTGGAAACATGGGAGATTGCTCAGACGAAATGCCAACCCTGTGTGTGGCTGCCATAAGGAAAATCAATTTCATATTTCCAATAATTTAGATTTTTTCCCCTAAAGAAAAGTCCAGTAGAAAAAGTTCTATTTATATATGTGTTATGAGAGCATACTTACAATGCTGCCAATATTGCAGTTTTAACCCTCAAAAAGAGGGTTGGAGAGCTGGAAAAAATCCAGAAACAAATGAAATTATTAGGGAGCTAGAGAAGCCCGTTTCACAACATATTGTAATGATTTGGGTTCTTCAACTAGGACTGAATCTGGGTAAGGAGAAATATGATGGAGAGATATGGTATCATGCACTGCATAGAAAATATGGATAAAGAGAAGTTTTCTTTCCTCACTCACAGTATTGAGAGTCCTGTATTAAAACTAAAAGTAAGAATAGAAGAGCCAACCTTAACCTTTCAGAAAGCAGTTAAGACCTGGCTATTATCCCGGGCATGGGGGTAGTTGAGCTCAAGAAAATTGGTGGCTGGCTTCCTTGTAGACATAGTATTTTAATTAATTAATTAATTTCATCAAATTTACATGGCTGCCCATCTCACACAAAGCGACTCTGAGTGGCATAAAATAAAACCAACAAAACATTCTACAAGACCACATTAAAAACAGTTAAACATAAATAAAAACAAGTTCACGAGAGGGATTGCATCGGAGGGATTTCCGGAAAGTCACAAGGGTTGGGGCTAACCACACCTCAGGGGCCGTGATATTCCAAAGGGTGGGTACCACAGCAGAAAAGGCTCGTCTCCTAGAACCCGTCAGATGGAACTCCTTAGCAGATGGGATCCGCAACATGCTGCTTCTGCTGGACCGGATGGGACGGGTAGATGTAACTGGGGAGAGGCACTCCCTTAGATAACCTGGCCCCATTCTGTGTAGGGCTTTATGAGAGGGAATGCATCGGAGGGAAGCTGGAATGTTCTTCTTTTCATTTCTTTTTCTCCCATGTAGGCAACACACAGAAGAATGAGAATTACCAGGAAACAAGGGTGGTCCTGTTGCAAGTCATAAAGGATGAAATAGGAGAAGAGACACTGGAAAGTCAATCACAACAGAAATGTCAAGAGGGAATCCATTTAAATAATTATAGAGGAACAAATCCTCCTTTATATTCTGAAAATTATGATTTCTTGATCCAAGAAGATCAGAAACAAAACACAAGTAGACAGTCTTTAGGCTGTATAGAAATACTTGAAGATCAATTAGTTTTAGGTAAACATTGTGGCTGTAGAGAAGATGGGAATATGTATAATCAAGGAGGTAACATGGGAGAGAAAGTATTTCAACATAATCAGTGTAAAAAAAGCTTTACTCAGAGCAGTCACCTTAGATCCTATATAAAAATCAATGGAGAGAAACCATATACATGCATTGAGTGTGGGAAAAGCTTTGGTAGCTCCAGTAACCTGACTTCCCATAAAAGCATACATACAGGAGAGAAACCATATAAATGCATGGACTGTGGCAAGTGTTTTAGGAGTATTTATAAACTTATTTCCCACAAAAGGATCCACACAGGAGAGAAACCATATAAATGCATGGAATGTGGAAAGAGTTTCAATAATTCAAGTAACCTTATTTCCCATAAAATCATCCACACAGGACAGAAACCATATAAATGCACAGAATGTGGAAAGAGCTTCAGTCTGAATGGTCACCTTACTTCCCATAAAAGATCCCACACAGGGGAGAAACCATTTAAATGCATGGAGTGTGGAAAGAGCTTCACTCATAGTGGCAATCTTACTTCCCATAAAAGGATCCACACAGGGGAGAAACCATATCAATGCATGGAGTGTGGAAAGTGTTTTAGGAGGAATGATAAACTAACTTCCCACAAAAGGATCCACACAGGGGAGAAACCATATCAATGCACGGAATGTGGAAAGAGTTTTACCCAAAGGAGTGCACTTGCTTACCATGAAAGGATCCACACAGGGGAAAAACCATATAAATGCTTGGAGTGTGGAAAAAGCTTTACTCAGAGCAGCCGACTTACTTCCCATAAAAAGATCCACACAGGGGAAAAACAGTATAAATGCTTGGAGTGTGGAAAAAGCTTTACTCAAAGTGGCCGACTTACTTCCCATCAAAGGATCCACACAGGGGAGAAACCATATAAATGCATAGAGTGTGGAAAGAGCTTCACTATGAGAAGTCAACTTACTTCCCATAACCGGATCCACAAAGGGAAGTAACCATCTAAATGTACCTTATGTGGAAACAGCTGTACTCAAAGCAGCTGACTTCCTATTCAAGGGGAGAAATGAACTGCATAGAGTACGCAAAGAACGTTATTGAGAAGCATATCTTTTTTTCCCACTCATGCAGAAGAAACCATGTAAGTGCATGGAATGTGGAAAGTCATTCCAGTAGACTTATTTCCCATATAACTATGCACAGAGGGGAGAAGCCATATAAATGCATGCAGTGTGAGATGTTTATTTAAAACAGTCATCTTATTTCCCACAAAAGGATCCATACAGGGGAGAAACCATATGAATACAGAGTACAGAAAACTCTCTCTTCAAAACACCTGACTTCCCATAAAAGGATCTATATGAGAAAAATCATAGGAAATTGTGGAAAGTTAATGAACTTTCATTTTATCCTAGTGAACTAATTTTCCATAAAATAAACTACATGGAAAAGAAACGAGTGCGAAAGGGCTTCCATGTGAATGGTTAACTCACTTGATTTCAGAAAAAAGGAACCATATAAATTAGAAATACGTTAACTTCTATTGCTTGGGGTCAGCCTTGGCCTTGATGGAGAGCAAGATGTGCCTGCCAGGTGAGCTGGCAGTGTTACGCTTTCCTAAATTAAGTCTAGAAGACCTGTGCTGTACAAT